GTGGCTGTGAGCCAGACCCGGATGGTTGTTGATGGTGTAAATCTGGAATTTAGTGGCTGATGTCAGTGGCACTGCTCTTCACTTACACCAGTGGAAAGGGAGATAGGATTTGGCCCTCGGAAATCAAACACAGAAAGGACAAACTGAACCGAAGCTGGGCTCTTCTCACCGGTGAGGTCCCACGACCGGACCTTTGGTCCTGTCTCTTGGGTTGTATGAATTCATTTGAAGCCTGTGTCTTGGCCCGCATTTTGTAAAGTGCCGTGACATTTCCAGCACCAAGATTACCATCAATAATAAATGAAAGCCCAGCAGTTCAGATCAGCCTGCTGTTCTTCAGTAAACATCCCTGTGCATGGCCTAGCTGCGGTGTAGCCCCACTCCCTCCTATAGGAACACAGGGGACCTCTATCTTCTCATCCCCTATAGATTCAGATAGCGCCACCCCACCCCACCCCACAGCAGTATAGATGTACACCTCCCCATGCCCCTTCCCAAATGACAGCAAGCGCTCTAGCTGACAAGTAACCTTAAAGTTAAGGATAAAAAGGGGTTTCCAGTAAATCCAAACACACCATTTCACAATGGGAGAGTTAATCTTGTTGCATTTAGGTTTTTCATTCCTGCAAATTCTTTTCCAGGGTAATTGCAAAGAGTTGCCCAATAGCTACATATTCAACAAACATATTACGCCAACACTTAGGCCTAAATCCAAACCTCATTGAAGCCAATGGAAAGTAACCTACTGCCTTCAAAATGGGCTTTAAAACAGATCTCCAACACGATCCAGCTCTTTGAATCTGTGCACTGAAAGGTTGGGATGGTGGTGGGGAAAATGGGGATGGCTCAGTTTTCTTTTATTTCTTTCACAGACCCGCAAGCAGTGCTGAAAGCAGCAACAGACACAATCAGGTGCAAAGACATCCCTCCAAAAGCAATAATAATTCAAACCAAAACGCTAAGGAGTCAGAACAGCACTGAGATCTGGCGCTCTATTAAGCTCTGATTCCAGCCCCCTGATTCTGCATCTCACACGTGGAAATGACATTATCCGCACACAGTGGACATCAAAGAGGGACTGGATCCCACATTCTGGGAAGCTAATAGGATTGACTTGGTTCTATCACTCCACTGGGATGGGACGTAAGAATATATTTATGTATCTACATCCCTCTTCGTCTGCATGTTTTATACATTTACAGACGCATTTGATAGCTATAAACCTCAGACACACGTGCACGAGCTCAGCCCCTTCACATGCATTCAAATCATGGTATAGGCCTGATCTGAATCTCCAGGGGTGCATCTACATGTTCATTAATGCGCAGGGCTTACCGCGCATTTAATCAAGTACTAAATCAATGCACAGTAACCAAAGTTACTGTGCAGTAGCACTGGCGAACGCCTTTTTAGTGATGCTACTGTGCAGTAGCCAAATAATACTGCGCAAGAGTGTATTAACACTGTCCATGATGTGACGTGCTACTGTGGAGTATTATTAGCCTACTGTACAGTTAGTGTCTCATGTAGACATGCCCCAGAAATAGGGAAATTCAGACTTAGGGCTCCATCTGTTCCACCTTGGGGATCAGAGCAATGTAGGATGGCTACAAGGTCCCTGCAGGGCCTCTACTTAAAAAGACCTTGCTTTGGGTGAGCTGTAGGTGAGACCCAGGACTCTGCCTTTTCAGTCCCTCGAGCAGGGAGATTTAACCATGCAACTCCTGCTGATATTCACTGAAGCCACAGGCTAAAACAACAGCTGAGGAAACAGCAGTTTATTGCTTTAACTTGTACAGCATCGATCACCTGGGTTTCGTTCGGCTCCTAAGGGAGACACCGTGCTAGGGGCAAGAGGTTTTGGGCCGATGGAAGATGCCCACAGTCGGGGAGCTCCACTCTGGGTGAAAGGTGTCCTGTGCTTATTGTGCCGACGAACCCGGATCAAATGGGCTGAGTTGACAAGTTTTCAAGGGCCAGCGCCGGAGACTCAGCCTGAGATCTGAGCACAAAGCCAGGCTCCATCTCGTACGTCCCGGCTGGAAAGAGGCTTGGTGGAGCAAATGCCATTCCTCAGCAACATCAGGTGACCCTCAGTGCTCAGAGACCTCTCTTGCCTTTCCCCAGCTGCGACTCTAAACACATGCAGAGAATAAGTCTGTGGAAAATGAAGATGCCCATTTTGCACTGTGCCCTCTGGGAACGGCAGATGAAGGGCTTTGGGCACCATTCCTCCTTCCACAAGCACTGGCAAATCCAACAAGCACCCAAGGAAGTGGACTGAGGGCATCCTAGGAGATCTCCGCAGGGCACAGCGACAGAGGGGCACTCAGCTCCATTTATTTTAACCTTGTAGAGAGCAGCAGATAAAGCTAAATTAAACCTAAAAGCTCGAGAGGGTTTCCACACCTGTATGAATGCGGTGGACGATGCTGCGTTCCTGGACGGAGGGGCACGCCTGTGTGCTTCTGTGTGTGCCCCCTCCCCGCACGGAGCCCATTTGGGTTGAAATATCATTCTTTATGGTCTGATTCCACAGATAACAAACCCTTTGTTACGAAGGGAAAGAAGCCGGCGAGCACGGACATTTAGCCAATACGTCAGGTCAGAACGCAGCAGGAACGCCGTCATCTGAATTGTTCTGAGTGAGGAAACTCTTTACCAGACATTTACTCAATTCCACGTATTAGCAGGAGCCAAGTGCCCAGAATAAAGGCAG